CATGTTGTGGGGTTGTTAACCAATGTTATAAAACAATATGTGTACTACTGTTTCATGAGAAACTATTTGTTCTGTAAGCCTTCACCCGAAGTACAATTAAAAAAAAAAAAAGTATTTATACTCGTTATAAGGGATATTGGTCTGTAATTTTCCTTTTCTGTGATGTCTTTACCTGGCTTTGGTATCAGAGTGATGTTGGTGTCAAAGAATGAGTTAAGGAGTATTCTTTCCTTTACTGTTTCAGAAGAGTTTGAGTAGAATTGGTGTCAACTATTCTCTGAATGTTTGGTAAAATTCCCCTGCAAATCTATCTGGGCCGAATTATTTTTTTTCTCCTTGGGAGTTTTTTGATGACATCTTTAATCTTTTCTGTTGTTATGGGTCTGTTTAGATTTTCTACCTCTATTTGTGTTAAAGTAGGTAGTGTGTTTCTACAAATTCATCCATTTCTTCAAGGTCTCAAATTTGTTGAAGTACAATCTTTCATGGTATTCTATTATGATCCTTTTTATCTCGATTGGATCTGTTGTCATGTCTCCAATTTCATTTCTTTTTTTGGTTATTTGCATCTTCTCATTTTTTTCCTTTGTCAATTTGGCCAGTGGTTTGTCAATTTTATTGATTCTAGCAAAAAACCAATTTCTAGTCTTGTTGACTCTGTTTTTCTTTTTGTTTTCTATTTCATTTATTGCTGCTCTGATGTTTATTATTTCCTTTTTGCTGGTAGGTTTGGTCTTGTTTTACTCTGCCTTTTCTAGTTGTACAAGTTGTCAGGTTAAGTTACTGATTTTGGACCTTCCTTTTTTAATGTATGCATTTGTTGCTACAAATTTTTTTCTGAGCACTACTTTTGCTGCATCCCAAAGGTTTTGGTATGTTGTGTTTTCATTCTCATTTGATTCTAAGTATTTTTTAATTTCTTCTATGATCCAATAGTTTTTGTTGTTGTTGTTAGGTGCTGTCGAGTCAGTTCTGACTCACAGCGATCCTATGCACAACAGAATGAAACACTGTGCAGTCCTGCGGCATCCTCACAATTTTCGCTATGTTTGAGCCCATTGTTGCAGCCACTGTGTCAATCCATCTTATCAAGGTTCTTCCTCTTTTTTGCTGACCTTCTACCTTACCAAGCACAATGTTCTTCTCCAGGGACTAGTCCCTCCTGATAACATGTCCAAAGTACGTGAGATGAGTCTCTCCATCCTCGCTTCTAAGGAACATTCTGGCTGTTATTTCTTCCAAGACAGACTTGTTCATTTTTCAGGCAGTAATGTGTTATTTAGTTTCCATGTACTTATTTTGCTTTTCTTCCTGTTATTGATTTCTTGTTTCATACCATTATGGTCAGAGAAGATGCTTTGTATTTCCATCTTTTTAAACTGATGCTTGCTTTGTGGCATAAATTATGGTCTATTATGGAGAATGTTCCATGTGCATTGGAGAAGAATGTGTATTGTGCTGTTATTGGGTGGTATACTGTATGTATGTCTGTAAGGTCCAGATGGTTAATAGTGTTGTTTAGATCTTCTGTATCTTGATTTTCTTTCTACTTGTCTGTCCACTGTAGAAAGTGGTGTGTTAAAATCTCCTACTATTATTGTAGATCTATTTCTCTCTTCAACTCTGTCAGAGTCTGTCTTATAAATTTTGGAGCTCTGATACTCGGTGCACAAATATTCATAACTGTCATGTCTTCTTGGTAAACTGATCCTTTAATCATTATAATGTCCTCCTTTATCTCTTACAATGGATTTTGACTTAAAGTTTATTTTGTCAGATATTAATATTGCCACTCCTGCTCTCTTTGTTACTGTTTGCTTGGCATATATGTTATTCCATCCTTTGATTTTTAACCTGTTTTTGTCTTTGTGTCTAAGGTGCGTCTCTTGTAGACAACGCATTGATGGGTCATGTTTTTTTTATCCATTCTGCCACTCTCTGCCTCTTGACTGGTGAATTTAATCCATTTACATTCAGTGTGATTACTGATAGGTAAGAAGTCACTGCTGCCATTTTGTTATACTTTTTTTTACGCTGTTAATGGCTTCTTTGTTCTTCCTTTACTTTCTGTGCTGAGTTCTTTTTGTATATGGATTTTCTTTTCCTTCCATTTGTTATTCTTGTTTTTGTGTTTACTGAGCCTTCTTTTATTTTCTTCTTCATTTTGGTGAATAAATTTATTGCTTTTCTTTGTGGTTAGCCCAAAGATTACACTTATCATCCTATATTTATCTTATTTATCATCCTATATTTAAAATAGTCTGTTATATCTTGAAATCACCTTGACTTTGTCTCCATATGGGAAGTTCTATAACTACACCATTCATTCTCCCTTTTGTTTTGAAGTTGTTGTCATTTACAACTTAATATCTCTGATTCCCTGTAGCTTTATTTTGCTTTTGTGAATTCTTTACCTGGCTTGGTATCTTGGCGATGCTGTCATGTGTCTTTATGTCAGCTTGCTGTCTAATGTCATTGGTTTTCTATCCTAAGGACTCCCTTTAATATTTCTTGCAGGGTTGGTCTAAAAAAAAAAAAAACTTGGTGCTGTCAAGCCAATTCCGACTTACAGGGCTGGTCTGATCGTTAAAAATTCCCTGAATTTCTGTCTATCTGGGCAAACTCATTGCTGTCAATGAAAAATGAGGAGTATACCTCTTACTTAACTGGGTAGTTGTTGGGTTAAATGAGATGACATTTTTCCTGGTTTATAATAAATACTGAATAAAAGTTAACTTCTAAAAATTTCCTTCAAAAATTTTAAATCACCTGGATAAAACCTCCATTGTTTCTTAGGGTTGTAATCCACACAGAAAAGTTGTTGTAATGATGGGGACAGTTTTCGTAAAAGTTCCCTCACTTTTCTCATTCTTCAGATAAACGTGGCTGGAAGTGATGGTTAATTAAAAATAATTCATGAAACTAAAGGCATTATGCAGATCTCCATTCTTACTGCCATCCTTACTAAATCCAGAAAAAAAAAAAAAAATATAAAACACTTACCTAGTCTTGGTGTCAATTTTCTCCAGGTTATTTTTAAGTGCAGCTGAAAGCTGCATCCTATGAGCAGAAAAAAACTTGCATTATACAACATTGATAACATTTATAGTACGTTAAAAAATTTTAAAATACAACACATAAAAGATTCATTTCCCTTTAAATATAACATAAAATATAAGGTTTCTAAACAGTACTGCATAGGAAATACTTTGTTAAATCTGTATCATTATCAAAATCTTAGAAATAAGAAATAACACTGAAATGGATGGACATTGCACACTGCCAGGCTGACGGGCTGAGTAGAGCCTGAAACCCAGCTGGGCTTTGCTCTCCAAGTCATCTGCCTTGGCGCAGGGCTGGGAGGAAGCATTAGGCACTATAGAGATTAGCACCAGCCTGAAACTGCAAAGAGTTAGGGAATATAAAGCAATACTTGTCTATAAACTTTAAAACATCCATCCATACAAACAAGCTCCATACATTACTTTTAAATTCAAATAGCTAATGAATAAGTAATAATAAAACGGTAATCAACTCAGCAAGAGTAATTTCTCCTTTTCTGCCACACACAGTTTCCGTTCATTAAAAGGAGGTATTTTAATAGCTGTGGAGTTACTTTAATGTAAAAATATGATCAATTTGGTGAGCCAGTAATATGAGATGAGGGGAAAAAGTTCATAGCTAGACACACTTAAAATTGCTTTAACTACTTTTCAATTAGATATATGAAGAAATTCACCTAGGAAAGCCAGAGTTAATTTAATTTATATCATTAATTCAAATCACAAGTTTATAAAAGACTACGTTTGCCAGCACCTAGCTCAAAGCTTAGGGCAATGTAGAAACTTAAGTAGGAACCCAAGTATTTGTTGAATGAATTTTAAAATACAGATAAAAAACCTCCAATAAAAACCTATGAGTTTTTGCTGATAGTTCTCTTACTAGATTAAGTTACTAGAATAAATGAATCCGTGTAATTCTTTGAAACACCAAATGGGAAATTACATCGCACTTCATCTTTTTTAAATTTCCTTATTAATCTTATGCAACTTCTTCAAATAAAGACATTGATAAATGATATAGCTTTTCCCTCGGGGTCAGCATTTCTGTGACCATTATCTAATCATCATTTTGCTCCCAGACACATTTTGAATTCAGTTCACAACAGTTAAGCATGAAGCTGGTTAAGTTACCAGTAACAACGAAAAGGCTGGCAGTTAAGAGTCCACCCAGAGGTGCCCCAGAAGAAAGGCCTGGCAATTTACTTCTGAAACATCACAGCCACTGTAAAATGCTATGGGTGCAGTTTTAATATGAAACATACAGGGTCACCATGAGTCAAAATTGACTCAACAGCAATTTGTTTTTTTTTTTAGTTTTCACAATGCTTATACTTAACATGGAGCCCTGGCGACACAGTGGTTAAGAGCTCAGCTGCTAACCAAAAGGTCGGCAGTTCAGATCCACCAGCCACTCCTTGGAAACCCTATGGGGCTGTTCTACTCTGTCCTATAGGGTCACTGTGTGTCAGAATAGACTCGACTGCAACGGGTTTTTCAACAGGTGTTCCTCTACTAACCAATCTTTTTCTTTCATTCACTAATTTATCTTTTCAATCAAAGAATAAATATTTTTGGATTGCCTTAGTCCTTAGCAATTACTGATTATAAAGTAATTGAACCATAAGAGTATACTTAACATGTAATAGGAGCCCTGGTGGTGTAGTGGTTAAGAGTTCAGCTGCCAACCAAAAAGCCGGTAGTTCAAATCCACCAGCCACTCCTTGGAAACCCTGTGGGCAGTTCTACTCTGTCCTGCAGGGTTACTATGAGTTGGAATCAACTCAATGGCAATGGTTTTTTTTTTTTTTTTTTTTTAAAGTAATAATTACCTGTCTAATGCAAGATTTTTCATTTCAAAAGCAGTTTTCGCCTCTTCAACTTCATTTTCCAGGCCTTCAATTTTACTAATAAAGAAGCAAGAACAAAAAAATTTCAACGATATTAGAAAAAGTCATCAAAACTTTAAAAGTACACCTTTGAAAACAGTAAAATGCCTCTATCTAAATAAAAATATTTTACAGTCTCACCGTACTGATGTCCATTTACAGATTTAGTATACTGATGGGCCCTGAGATACTTTGCTAAGTATCCTGTAAGAGGTTCCCAAAAAGTGCTAATGTAATCATTCATGTGCATTTAAATCTCTATCCCAAATAACCTCCCAATGCATGTGCGACAAACTATTTGTAAAAATAAAGGAAAGGAAAAAGAAAGACAATGTTCTAAGATGTACAGCATGATTAAATCTTAATAAGAAAACTGAAAAATATGACATACGCTTTGATTTGCTCTTCTTGCATGATTTGTTCTGGAGTTTTTTCTTCATCTACAAGTATAGTTTTTTGAAGTTAGTAAAATTTTAGAACAGCACTGTCCAAAAGAAATAGAATACAAGTAAAAAATGCAAACCCTACATGTAATTTAAAATGTCTAGTTTCCACATTATAAAAGAAACAAGTGAAATTAATTCTAATATATTTTATTTAACCCAATATATCCAAAATATTATTGTTCTAACATGTAAGCAATATAAAAATTATTAATGAAATATTTCATATTCTTTTCTTCTGTGCATACTTTACACTCACAGCACATCTGAATTAGGACTAACCACATTTCAAGTGTTCAATAGCTAGTGGCTACTGTATTAGATAGAATGATTTTCGAATGATAGTGAATAAAAAATCAATATGTCTGTTAGCAACAAACAACTGGAAATTAAAGTTTAAAAAAAAAACCTGAATATAATGGCATCCAAAAACAAGATATGTTTATGACCTCTGCACTGAACACTACCAAATATTGCTGAGAGAAATTACAAACCTAAGTAAATGGAAAGATATACCATGTACATGGAATGGAAGGCTCCGTGTTGTTAATGTAACAATTTTCCCATATTGATCTTTAGGTCCCAATAAAAAATCCATCAGGCTTTTTTTCTGTAGAGATTGATAAGCTGATTTTAAAATTCATATAGAAATGGAAAGGACTTAGAATAGCCAGACAATCTGGACAAAGGAGAGCAAAGCTGGAGGACTTACAGTAGCTAATGTTAAGACTTACTCTAAAGCTACAGTCATCAAGACAGCGTGGTACTGGCGTAAGATAGAAAAATACCTCAATGGAACACCGTAGAGAGCCCAGAAATAGACCCACACATATGTTCACTTGCTTTTCAACAAAAATGCCAAGGTAATTCAACGGAAAAGGATAGTCTTTTCAACAAATGGTGCTTAACTACTAGATTTCCATATGGAAAAAAATGAACCTTGACCCTAATGCCATACACAAAATTCACTCAAAAAGTATTAAAACCAAAAAACCAAACCTATTGCCATCGAATCAATTCTGACTCATAGTGACCCTATAGGACAGAGTAGAACTGCCACACAGAGTTTCCAAGGCTGTAAATCTTTACGGAAGCCGACTGCCACATCTTTCTCGCATAGAGCGGCTGGTGGATTCGAACCACCAATCTTTCGGTTAGCAACCAAGCACTTAACCACTGTGCCACCAGGGTTCCAGACCTACATATTAAACCTAAAACTAGAAAACTAGAAAAAAACATAGGAGAAAATCTTTGTGATCTTGGGGAAGTTGCAGGTTTCTTAAATAGGACTCAAAAATCACTAACCATAAAAGATTTAAAAAATTGACAAATTGCATTTCATCAAAATTAAAACCTTCTGCTTCAGAAAAGACACTATTAAAAAAATAAAAAGGCAAGCAACAAACTAGGAAAAAATATTTTATATCTATCTAAAAAAGGATTTGCATTCATTAATGAAAAAAAGAACTCAAACACAGTAAGACCAACAATCCCATTAAAAGATGGGTAACAATTTGAATATGCATTTCATAAATGAAGACATACATATGACCAATAAGCACATGACAATATGCTCAACATCATTAGTTATGAAGAGATATAAATTAAAACCACATGAGATACTACCAAATATGCATCACAATGGCTAAAATTTAAAAAAATCACAATACCAAGTGTTGATGAGAATGTTGAGTAACTGGAAATCTTATATACTGCTAGGAGGGATGTACATAATAGTACTGTCCTTTAAGCTGTTTAGTAATTTCTTAAAAAGTTAAGCACAAACTTGCCACACAACCCCACAATCCTACTTTTAGACATTTATACAATAGAAATGAAAACATATATCCGCAGAAAGACTTATGTACAAATGTCCATAGCAGCCTTATTCATAATGAACAAAAACCAGGAAACAACTCAAATGTCCAGCAACAGGTGAATAAATAAACTGTGGTACAGTCGTAATTGTATACTTTAAAATAGTGAGTTTTATGTGAATTATATGTTAAAAGAAAGTACTCAGATACAAAAAAAGTATATACCATGTAATTCCATTTATATTAAATTTTAGAACTAAACCCGTTGCTGTTGAGTCGATTCTGACACATATTGATCCTACAGGAGAGAGTAGAACTGCCCCATAGAGTTTCCAAGGAGTGGCTGGTGGATTCAAACTGCCGACCTTTTGGTTAGCATCTAAACGCTTAACCACCACACCACAGGGCTCTAAATTTTAGAACAGTGCTGTCCCATAGAACTTCCTAGAATGATGAAAACGTTTCATATCTGTGCTGTCCCAAATGGTAGCCACTAGTCACATGTGGCTATTGAGCATTTGATATGTGGCTAGTGCAAATGAAGAACTAAATTTTTAATTTTATTTAATTTTAATTAATTTAACTTTAAAAAGCCACATGTGCAACAACAAAAAGACAAAATAACCCAATCAAAAAATAGGCAAGACTCGAAGTGTTAATTGATACACACATACACACACCCACACACACACCCACACCCCCACACTGAAGAACACCACGGCATCAAGATTGGAGGAAGACTCATTAACCACTTGTGATAGGCAGATGACACAACTTTGCTTGCTGAAAGCAAAGAGGACTTGAAGCACTTACTGAGAAGATCAAAGTCTACAGTCTTCAGTATGGATTACATCTCAACATAAAGAAAAAAAATCCTCACAACTGGGCCAATAAGCAACATCATGATAAATGGAGAAAAGACTGAAGTTGTCAAGGATTTAATTTTACCTGGATCCACAATCAACACCCATGGAAGCAACAGTCAAGAAATCAAAGCACGTATGGCATTGGGAAATCTGCTGCAAAAGATCTCTTTAAAGTGTTGAAAAGCAAAGATGTCACTTTGAGACTAAGGTGCGCCTGACCCAAGTCATGGTACTTTCAATGGCCTCATATGCATGCAAAAGCTGGACAATGAATAGGGAAGACGGAAGAAGAATTGATGCCTTTGAATTGTGATGTTGGCAAAGAATTTCGAACATTCCACGGGCTGCCAGAAGAATGAACAAATCCATCTTGGAAGAAGTACAGATAGAATGCTCCTTAGATGGTAGGATGGTGTGACTTTGTCACACATACCTTGGGCATGTTATTGGGAGTGACCAGTCCCTGGAGAAGGACATCAAGCTTGGTAAAGGGTCAGCGAAAAAGAGAAAGACCCTCAACAAGATTGACTGACACAGTGGCTGCAAAAATGGGCTCAAACATAGCAACAATTGTGAGAATGGCACAGGACCAGGCAGTGTTTCATTCTGTTGTACACAGGGTTGCTATGAGTTGGAACCAATTTGAAAGCACCTAACAACAACAATATATATACTCTTTAGTAGTTCCTAAGGGCCAGGGCAAGTCTTACATTGCTTTTTGCCTCCTTACAAGGCATAGTACTGTATTATGCTGTACCCCTCACATTCCCCAAATAAACAATTTTCTGTAAAAATGATTTTCTTTTCATTAGAGTACTATTCATCATTAAACTCACAAAACCTTATTTGAAAATGAAAATATTTACTTGCATCAACCATTGATTTATATTCCAAGAGTTGTTGTTTTGTCTGTGCTCTCAGCCTGAAAGGAAAAAAAAAAACAGAACAGTCAGTCATACTTACTGACTGAGATGCTACTCATTACCGTTAAACTAGAGTCCCTGGATGGTGAAAACTGTTAAGCAATCGAATGGTAACCGAAAAGTTGGACGTTCGAGTCCACCCAGAGGCACCTCAGAAGAAAGACTTGGAGAGCTACTTCTGAAAAATCAGCCACTGAAAACCCTTCAGAGCACAGCTCTATTGACACACATGGCATTGCTATGAAACAGAATTGACTCAACAGCAAATGATACTGGTACTACGTGATAGACCAACTCATCTTTTTCAGAAGCTGATGCAACAAAATGAGCCAGCATTCAAGTCTCAGTATATGCTCCCAGTTTGTTCTCATTTTATCTAAAATGGGCATAAAGAAATTTAAGGTCTCAGAGGAAGACAAAACATCGAATACAGTGGGAAAACAGCATCTGTGAGAAAAGTAAAAAATCTGGTCTTTAAGTTTATCCTTAGTAGGCCATAGGCCAGATTGAATGAGATGGATTGACACAGTGGCTGCAACAATGGGCTCAAACATAGCAAAGATTGTGAGGATGGCAGTGTTTTGTTCTGTTGTACATAGGGTCGCTTTGAGTCAGAACGACTCAACAGCAACTAACAAGGCCAGACTGAAATGGGCTTAATGAGAACTGCTGACAAAAAAGAAAGGTCAAAATGGTAAAACAGCACACTGTAAGGAGCGACAAACACAGGTTGTAACCTACCCTGGAGATACAGAAAAATAATGAAGATGCTAATCCTTGGATAGATAAGTAATTCATATAGTGTCTTAGTTGTCCTATGGGTCTACTTAATTCAAAATCATACATAAAATAAGTAGAAAAGCTATGAGTAAAATAGTAATTAGTTATTAAGTTTTATTTACAAAATGTTTCACATTTGCATAGTAGTTTCATAATTCTGAAATTATTTTCCTTGAGACATTAGGACTTATTTAAGTAGCTAAGAAACATTAGATAAATTTCTCAAGTTCTAATGCAGGTTTCTTATTGTTTCAAAATTCCAAATGAAAACAGCAATTTCTTAGAGGTTAAGCAGGATAGCATTCTACAATACACACTGAAAGAATAGTTCCCTGTTTAGCTGGGATGGAAAGAATCTTATATTTTTAGTATTTTATATTGTAGGTAGGAGAGCATTTTCAAAGTAAGGCTGTAAGAGATTTATAGTCAAGGCCTTTCAAATCAGTGGCAAAGCTAAAATACAGTCACAATGCTTACAAAAAAAAAAACCTTGTAATGATTTAGAACAGAGGTTGGCTAATTTTTTTCTGTAAAGGGTTTGATAAATATTTTAGGCATTTTGAGACATATGGTTTCTTTTGCAACTGCTCAACTCTGCCATTATAACATGAAAGTTATGTACCAATTAAACTTTATGGTAGCTGAAATGTGAATTTCATATAATTTTCATGTGTTATGAAATATTTTTCTTGTTTCCCCCCAATCATTTAAACACACAAAAACCATTTTTAGCTGAAGTGGCCATACAAAAATGGGCTGTAGGGAGGATTTGGTCCAGGGTGATAGTTTGCCCATTCCTGATTTACAAGACTGATGTTCCTTCTCACCAAATCTCTGCTACCAACTGCTTAGTGGAAAAGCATAAATATAGTCCTCTTAGTAGAAAATATAAGCAAGATCTACAGAACCCTCCTCATCTACTCTAAGACCAGAAGAATTAGATGGTGCCCTGTTACCGCTATTGAGCGTTTTGATCAGGGCCACAATAGATGGATCCTGATAAAATGGGAAAAAAAAATGGAACCAACTAAAATTCTTAAGAAGTCCAGACTTACTAGACCAGAGTTGAGACTAGGACTAGGGGGCTCCCCGTGTCTACTGCCCTGAGATAGTCTTCAAACCTTGAACCAAAACTATCCCGAGGTCACCTTATAGCTAAATAACAGATTAGCTCACAAAATAAAGAATATCACCCGTGAGAACTGTGCTCCTTTAAAAAACTATCTATATGAGACCAAATGGTGAAAATTACTTTAAAGCAAAGATGACACTGTAAGGGGACAGGGAAACTAGATTACTGGAAACAGAACAACCAGAAGGGAAATAATGAGAATGCTGACACACTGTGAAGAATGTAACCAGTATCACTGAATAATTTGTGTAAAAATCGTTGAATGGGAACCTAATTAGCTGTATAAACTTTCACCGAAAACACAATAAAATACTGTTTAAAAAAAGAAAATATAAGCAAGCTTCTTGCTCAAAAAGAATCAGTTATAAGAGAAAGGGGTGGGGCATCCTCCCACCAGTTGCTCAGGGCTAGGGTGCCCAGCAAAACATCCGGCCTGAAAATAGAGGCCCCAGGGTGTGAGGGGGAAAGAGGTTAAGGCTCTGGAGGTCTTCCCAAAGGCCCCAAGGAATATGCTAAAAGCTTTCCTCAAAGTCTCTCATTTAAC